ATGAAATGGCCATCTCAAAGTCCGGACTTGAATCCTAAAGAAAATTTGCGGTATATTTTGGACAGAAAAATTGGTGACGCGCATTTAGACAAAAAGACGACTTAAAAGAGCTATAATGAGCGCATGGGATAATATAACAACAGAAGAAACCCAAAATTTGGTCAACTCAATGCCAAATCGTCTAGTTGAGACCATCAAGGCCAAAGGAGGCCCCACTCGATACTAAATTTCATGAAGTTTGATCAATTTGACATTATTTTTGAACTGTATGATTTATTTTTTTTTGCAGTCAATTATATGCATCATTAGATCAATTGCGTAAAATTTAATAGGTATGAAAAGCAATTAACTCGCCAATACACAAATAAATTCTTAAAACAAAACTTGGTAAGATATCTAAAAAAAGTTTTCAAATATTTTAACGAAAAACTAATTTTTTTGATGCAATCTTTAAAATTAAGATTTTTTTTCAAGTGTACGATTATTTTTTTTGCATACTGTATATATATATATATATATATATATATATATATATATATATATATATATATATATATATATATATATATATATATATATATATATATATATATATATATATATATATATATTTACAAATCTGACAAATCTACAAAAGTGCAAACTTTTGTTACAAAAGAAGACAGAAAAATGAACATCACGTTTCTATATTTTTTCATATGTAAACGTTGGCGTTCGTTTAAACTTTTTAAAAACACACCATTACTTCAGCAATTTTTTTTTCAAATAATTATGCGATTGATAGTTTTTTATTTATTACAAAAAACACATATTTATGATAAAAAAAAAACAATTAGTTACTAAAATTTAAAACACATTTCAAAAACTTTAAAAGATGCTAAAACATGATTATTTTTTTCAATAGCGTTACTATCAAGTAAAATTACTAAAAATGGTATCAAAGATAGTAATTATGTTTTAGCATGGTTTTTGCATGTGTTAACAAAAGCATGCATAGTTTCACTTAAAATGAATGTATTTGCAATTACTTTAAAATGCTTAAACAAAAGGTTGCTTTTTTCTATAGCATGTTTTTTTTTTTTTAATTTTCTTATTGTTAATAAAATGAAGTAATGCTTATTTTCATATTAAAAACACTTTTTAAATGTTTGAAAGAATATTTAAGTTTAGCTGAAATATATACAATCTAATAGAATATATAGAATTAACATGTTTATTATAGTTTTTATTTTTCATTGTGTGTTTAACAACGCCAATATTATGATATTTTTTTCAACTTATTAAACACTTAATATAATATTATTTTAAAAAGTTTTATAAATGAACTGTCAAAACAACTTTTATTTTATTTTTAGCTTCTTTTATTTTAATTTCTTCAAGTTTGTACATTTTTATTTGTAAATAAACTTAGAGAGCTCAACTGAGAAAAATTTATTATTTAGTATCAATGGATAACACCTTTTTTTTAATGTAGCTTTTTTTATAACACAGCAGATTAAATATAAAAGAGAAAACCCAATCTAATTGTGTAAAATTGTATAAAAAACTCTGCAGTGAGTACACACATTATTCAAACAAGATATTTTTATGACAATAAAACTATAAAATTAATGTTCACATGACAACCAGAAATATAATGTCCAAAAACTATTAGTTTTTTGTTAATATTTCAATAAATTATTAATTTATTGAAAAATTTTATTAATCAATTCTAAATTAAATTTATTAAGTTAATTAACTTTAAACTTATTTTTTGATGTTTATTTGTGAAATAAACACAGTTTGTCTCTTGATGTTTATTTGTGAAATAAACACAGTTTGTCTCTTGATGTTTATTTGTGAAATAAACAGTTTGTCTCTTGGGAAGCTCTTTAAAACTTAAAATATAAGATTCCTTAAATCTAAAAATATTCAAAAGAAAAGTTAACACACAAAAGTGGAAACAATTTATTTGAAAAATTTTTCACCAGAAATGATTTCTATTTTTAAAACTACCATACCATGTACAACATACATGAACAGTAATCGTTATTTTGAAAACATTCTCTTGGTGTCCAAAAAAAATGGAATAAGTTAAAACAGAGGGGTCCAGGATTTTAAGATATGTAACTACAGAAATGGTATTACCTATAGGACACTAGAATGAACATAAAAAAAAACTTGTTTTTTTTTTTTGAATTGAAAAAAGTTTTTTTTAACTTTTACTTGTGTTGCCTGAGAACAGTATTTTCCTGAAATTTCAACTACTTTCTAAAATGGGATATGAAAAAAAAAACTAAATTTTTTGTAGTATCTTAAAATAGACCAAAATAAATTTATCTAAAAAAAAAACAAAAAAAAACAAAAAAAAAAACTTGAGGAGGGGAGGAAGAGGAGGGGGGGAGAGTATATATTGTATAATTGTATAATTTTACAAGTATATATTGTATAATTGTATAATTTTTTAATTGTATTATTTTAGAGTATATATTGTATAATTGTATAATTTTACAAGATCATAACTTTTAAACATTAAAAGATTTTTTTGCTAAATAAGTAGTATAAAAATGAACTTTTTTTATGCTATTACCAGCTCCCCTGTATTACCCCCCCCCCATTCCACCCACAACCTTAAAACCTGAGTCTTAATTTTATGATAATATCCTAATAATATCTTTACTTGTAGTAGTACGAAAATGTAAACGTTTAAGATTCAATATTAGTTTCAAAAAGATATACATAAGGATTCTGATAACTTTGAATTAACTCAAAACCGTTTAAACTCATAATAAAAAGATTCAGAAGCTGTTAAAACCAAAAACCTAATCCTTTATTTTAAACATTCTCATTTATATATTGACTACATACATTATGGTCATTAAAATTTCTAAAGTTTGATGATATTTAAAAAATTTAAATAAATTTTGTGTCATCAAAAAGATTAACTTGTGGATGGTTTACGCAATTAATATAAGATGCAGCTGAAACTTTGGAACTTTTTTTTTTAATTTTTTACAGCTTTGTAAACATTAGTAGCTGATTAAGATACTCCATAGAGTTTTAAGAGTTTG